ATCCTCTTTCCACCTGCCTGATCCTCATCAGATTTCCCTACATGAGTGAGAGTTGACTCTGTGCTGGGTGGACTCTGTGCCAGCTCCAGGGACATTGTCCCTGCCCTCAGGGAGCTGATGGACCAATGAGCCTCTAGAGTACAGTGCCGTCCACACTGGGGAGGTGGTCTTGTTTGTGGGGCAGGGAGGAGAAACCTGGAGTCACGTGTCCCCCTCCCTGCCCTGGCGATAGCTCTGCCCCCCAACTCTGCATCCACTGCCCATTCCAACCCCTGCCTTCCTGCCTGATGATTGCAGAATTCAGCGTGTTCTCCTGCTTCAGTGCTGCAGCCGAGTCAGCTTTCCCCAATACCAAACTGACCCATTTCTTTCCTGACCAAAGTGCTTAGCTGTTTGTCATGATCCCCAGGACAGATGCCAAACTCCTGAGCATGGTGCCTTTCCCCTCTGGCTCCTGCCCCCTTTCCAGCTGTCTATTCCTCCCGAGTGTGCATGGAGCCCCCACCATGCTGTGGGCACTGTCCCAGGGGCTGGGGAGAGACAGACATCTCTCACTTGCTCCCACAGCTCAGGGCCCAAGGGCTCACTTGTGGGCCTCTGTGCACACCATGCTGTTCCCTCTGCCTAGCCTGCCATGCCCTTTGAGCTTCACCCCTTGCAGTTGGTTTCAGGGTTTTTCCTCTTGCCTGAGTCCCTGCTGGGTCTTCTCTGATTCCACAGCACCCTCTTCTTCCTTCTCTCCACTGGACACCCACTTACTGGCTGGGAGCTCCTGGGGGAGGGTGTATTTGCATTTTATTCTTTGTGTTCCCAGCTATTATCACAGGACCAGGCATACAGTAGGTGCTCAATAAACACCCCAACAGCAATGAGTAGGCTGAGGCTCGGGATGAGAGATGGCTGCTTTGTCCAAGCAGGTATAGTCACTGTAGTGGCCCATCCCTGCTCTCGGGAGACATATGGCTCTTCCACAGCTATTCATGTGTTCAATTTTCCCAGCAGCCCTTGAGGTGGGCATCACCCTGATTTACAGATAAGAAAACTGAGGCTCAGAGAAGTGGGGTGAGTTACCCAGGATTATGCCCCCAGTGGCCCCTACTGGCCAGTCTTCTGCTTCTCAACCTGGCACCTCCATTCCAGTACAGGCAGCTGTTGGAGGGGACGGGGCAGGCTGGCATGGGCTCTGGCAGCCATGTGCCCATGTGCTGTTACATAAACTCATCACCAGACCTTCCCCCCCGCCCCAAGGACAAAGGGGGGTTGGTCTAGAGCAGAATAATGAACATCCTACACATTCATAGCCTATTTTGTTGTTGTTTCGGTGGGCTTTTAAATTGGAGAAATCAGATCATTTTGCTCTCACATCGCCCATCAAATCCTTAGTACACTGGTTATGTTTGAATATTTATGTACATATAAAAAGGGCACATTGTACCATGCAACATCTGTGGCTCTGAGGAATCCTAGGATGCAGGTGGGAGGTGGTGCACCTGAGCACTGAACAGCTGGGGGAGGCATGTGCAATTGGGTGGTTTTCAATGAAAGGAAAAGAGTAGATGTTTTTCCAGTCACCCACTGAGAGACACCAAGTTGTTCCACTTTTTGGGTATTGTAATAATGTGGGAAGCAGACTGTGACCCCAAACTACACCACTTGGCCACGTGGATCATTATGAGCTGAAGGCAGTCAAGACCCTGCAGACTCGAGAAAAATGCTTGCCTCTCCCTTCACGACTGAAAGATTTAGGTGGGGGGCCTGCCCAGAGAGAGCTAGTCCCAGAATAACTTATCTAAGGTCCTGCCTGTAGGGCAGGGCAAACATCTAATCACCAGACATCTGTTCTTCCACCATCCTGTGAATTAGCCCCCTCCCTTCTGAAGCCCCAGCCCCTGTCCCATTCCTTAGCTCAGGATAGCACATGCGCCTCAACTGCTGGCTTGTCCTGGGCATCATGTTCTTGGGGGGCCCCCATATGTACATAATTAAATTTGTTTTTTTCCTGTTAATCTGTCTTGTATTAATCTGACCTAAAAAAAAGTTGTCCTCCTGGACACTGGTTACCTCCATTTCTACCTCAATCCCATTAGAGCTTTCTCAGGGATGGGGCAAAGCTTTCTGTAAGGCACTTTGGGGGTCCCTAGAGCCTGAGTGTGGGGGACTTATTAAAAAGCACAGTGAGGAGCTGGGAGCCCCATGGAGGTCATGTGGCCCTTCTCTGGTATTAAGGGTGAGAAAGGGAGGTCTAGGAAAATAGAGCGAATAGCCCTGGCCCAGCTGGAGCCAGCGGGACTTTCCACTCCAAGCTGGACCTCCCCTTCCTTAAACCGTTCCACCTTGCAGAGAAAAAGAGACACCTACTCCTGCTTGAGTTGACTGGGTCCCCATCTCCACAGCTGCCAACTGTTTACCTCCCTGAATCCTGACCACACCGGCAATGCTCAAACACAACGCCAAGGCTCAAGGACGCTGGGGAGCCAGAGTCCAGCCCAGGCCCCTCCAGCCCCAGGCTTTGCTGCCGTCCTGGGAGGTGCTCATGCCTCCAGCTGGTATCTTCCAGCCTCTCTCCTGGGCACCGGGGATTCCCAGGTGACAGACTGTGCCCTCTCTGGTGAGGCCACCAACACTGAGGACACCGAGGACACCGTGGGGAGGGCCAGACAAGAATGAGTAAAATCTGCCCCCTTTTTTTTTTTAACCCTCACCTGAGGATATTTTTTTCATTGCTTTTCAGAGAGTGGAAGGGAGAGAGGGAGAGAAACAGAGAGAAACACCAATGTGAGGGAGACACACTGATTAGTTGCCTCCCACAGGTGCCTGGGCTGGGGATCAAGCCAGCAACAGATCGGGCCTGAACCAAGGCACATGCCTTTGGCCAGAAATGAACCTGGGACCCTTCAGCCTGCAGGCCGATGCTCTAACCACTGAGCACCTGGTTAGGGCAAAAATCTGTCCTTTTGAAGTCAGTTACTGCAACTGCTTGTCAGCTCAGTGAGGGGAGCCATGGCTGCCAGGCCACCTGCAGACCTGAGAACCAGCAGTGACTCACGATCCTCAGGAGACTGCTTTTTTTTGGTTTGTTTGTTTTTTAAATATATTTATTGATTTCAGAGAGAGGAAAGGAGAGGGAGACAGAAACATCAATGATGAGAGAGTCATTGAGTGGCTGCCTCCTGCACGTCCCCTACTGGGGATGGAGTCGGCAACCCTGGGAGGTGCCCTAACCGGGAATGGAACTAGGATCTCCTGGTAGTTGCTCAACTGCTGAGCCACGCCCGGCTGGGCCTCAGGTGACTTACTATTAAGTGAAACACAGATCCCCTGTGTGAGTCAGGCTGTGGGCTGCACCTGCTGGAAGGGGTGCAGGAATCCTTCCCCTTCCGGTCGAGGCCCACCCCTTTTGATTTCCATGTTGCCTTGTAGTTATTGTTTCTTTTGTATTTAGGCTGAGGGCAGCTGTTTGAAGTTATGATTAAGCATCTCCGGTTTTAAAATCATGGCTTATTAGAACTAGAAAAGTTTTTTTGGAATCATTTCCCTTTCCGTGTTATAGATGCATATGCTAGGGTCCAGCGGGGATCTGCCCAAGGTCAGCTGGAACCCGGTCCCCTTCCGGCTGTGTCCAATGACCAGGCACCAAAGCCTGTCCCTAAGTAAGCAGATAGCCTAGTTTCACTGGGCCCAGCGGTCCACAGAGATCAGGCCAGGCCTGGAGCTGGCCGGGCAAGGGCCCTGTCTGGCCTTGGACCCTCCTCAGTCTGTGTTCCCAGGCCTCCATTCTAGTGGCGTCCATCCCACTCCGTTTCCTGCTGAATTTTACTCAACCTCTTACTGGTCATGGCCAGCCTTGGGTTAAACTGTCAGAGTTACTAACCAGGAATGGATCTTTCCACCCCCTTTCTGCGCGGGCCCTTCCTGCTGTCCACGCCCAGCCATTCCCAGGCCGAGGGCCAGAGGGCTTCCTGGAGGCGGAGGCAGCAACGACGGCGGCGAGTGGTGGTGGGGCGCGCTGGGCCTTAGTTCCCCCGGGTCACGGGCCACCTGGGACCCCGCCCACTCCTCCGGTTCCCAGGGGAATGAGCCTCTAGCGTAGACGCCGCGCACGAGCTCGGACCAGCCAGCGGAGCTCGGAAATAACATCCTTG